AGCCTGCGCTGCCCCCCGTGGGGGTGGTGGGGGAGTGTCGTAAGGGTCCAAGTGAGCCTTCCAGGACCCTTGTGACGCTCCCCCCACCTCCCCACGGGGCCAGCACGGATGAAATCGCCAGCTTCTGGGACTCTTGAGGCTTGGGAAGCTTCCAAAGAGTCCCAGAAGGTGGCGATTTTGACCCCTCTGGCCTCCGGGGGGGGCTGGGTGAGCCTCCAAAGGGTCCTAGGGTGTGTTCCATAAGACGGACCTCTCCATAAGGCTGACCAATTTTTAGGAGAAGAAAACAGATTATTTTTTTTCCTGTTTTCTTCTAAAAATTTGGTGCGTCTTATGGAGTGAAAAATACGGTAGACAATCATCTGTCAGAAAATGTTTTGATTTGAATTCCTACATTCAGCTGGAGGTTGGACTTGATGGTGTTATAGATCCTTTCCAACTTCATGATTCTATGGTTCTATGATTCATATTGCCCATGCCTATTCCAAAGGTGAGGTAGTGGAATTCTCCATTGCTTTATGCTACCTGCCACACTCACTGCACCCCTGATCCTGGGGAGTGTTACATCTGACTCACTGGCCTCTCCATTCAAATTCTTTCTATCACTCCTCAAGCTGAGAACTCCGTATACCACCATACCACCCCCACCCCCAAGGCCTCCTACTAACTGCAGTTGTGGTAGTGAAACTCAGAGACAAGTAGGCAATATACATCCTTGTGACTTCAAGCCAGCTCTGATCCTTCACTCTCTCAGCCTCTCCCAATGATGGTATTGCTAGTTTTCCATGATTCCCTACTTCCTAACATGAAATCATGGTTGTCTTCACAGCCTGCACTTTGTAATTTGCTGATCTTTCCCTACTGATGAAGAATGTGATCTGTCCTTTGAGCAGCATGAAAACTTTCCACATTCTACATACAGTCTTTCCTTTCTCCAAGAAAGAGCCATACCTCTGTTTTCATTATTCGTTGCTACCATTTACTTGACTGCAAAGAATTCTGCTTGGTATTCTGTGCAGAGCAGCAACCTGACACAGTTCACATCCTTTATTTGTCATTATCCCATGTTATGAGAGATCACTAGGTGATATTTCCTGGGTGCTGATGACACCTCTTAACATGGCAAGTCAGCTTTTTAATCACCTATATATGTGATACAGAGAGACCACAATGAACAGCTTGCTTATCTATATGTGTGGTTCTTTGAGTGATCATCTGTGCGTTCATACATCTTATCCTTCTCACCTCTTGTGGTTATTGGAAATCATTTTGGTCTTAGTTGCTGTTTTGCAGCAGACACCTGGAACGTCTCTGGTCTGGGGTGGGCAAGGCCCCCCACCAAATTACTTTTGCTTTTGGTTTATTTATAGAAGGCTACAAGATGTATGTATATGTGCAGGACACACCTGTAGGTGCGAATGCATAAATGACACAGATAAGTAACTCATTCTTATGTGTATAGACATTTTCTCTGTTTTTAAGTGTTTATGTGCATTTTAGTTATTAATGCTGTTGTTTTTGTTTTAGTCCTCAGTATTACAAGATAATAGAGGAATGTGTTTCACAAATAGTATTGCACTGTAGTGGCATGGATCCTGATTTCAAATGTAGAGAGCGGTTGGATGTAGACTTCAGTCATCTCATAGGTATTTATGTGTCTTATATATTTTAAATACTAAAGCTGTATAATAATTGTTTATAAAACCACATGTTGTGCAGTGTGTGATGTACCAGAAATTAGCCATTTTAAATAATATAGATTTATTAGTGGAGAATAAAACCCATGTCTTTTATTTGATTTAGCAGTATTTACCAGGAACTTGGTTTGAAGTGTAGATTATTTTATTTATTTAATCCATGCATGATACTAACCAAATCTGTTGTCCTGGATTGGCCTTTGAGACACATACAGAAACAATATTGCTACAATATGCTCTACATGCATGAAGGAATTATGCAGGTTATGTGCAGCACAGGTCCTTTTGTTATCATGTGCTGTCAAGTCACTTCTGACTTGCATTGACTCTATGAATGATCTGCAAAATGTCCTGTCCTCAACAGCCTTGCTCAACCCTGTGGCTCCCTTTGGAGAATTAGTTCCTCTCGTATTTGGTCTTCCTCTTTTCCCGCTGCCTTCCACCTTTTCTGGCATCGTCTCTTCCATACGATTTTGCCTTATGATGTGCCCAAAGTAGATAGCCTGAGTTTTGTCTTTTTTGCCTCTGGAGACTGTGAGGGTTCAAATTTTACCTCCTCTGGTTTCAACAGAGACACTGGGGACCCTTGCTTTGGAATATCATAACTATGTTTTATTGGAACATGTAACAGCAAGTCCGTATGCTCAAACTCAACTTCTGCATTGTCTCTCGTTGCCAATGGGTCCCACGAGGGCATCCAAACGTCTTTATTAAAGGGGTTACAGTTTGAGTCATTCCAAGGTCCCTTCGCAAATGGGTTACTGCTTTCCATCTCAGCAGTTTCTGCCTCAGGGTTTAAAAATGGGGTGGTCTCTTCATCTTGCCCCTCCAACTCATAAGGGTCTTCCTCTCCTCAAAGAGGGGCCCACGGTCCACCAGGTATCCCCTCCTCTGGGCTTCCTCCAGAGTTTGGGAGTTCAGTTTCCCAGTGTGCCATTTACAGGTAGAGCCAGCCTGTATGGCCTTGGGCAAGCTGCATTGGCCCGGGATACACCCAGAAGAAGGGAATAGGAGACCACTTGTGAGTATTTTCTACCTGGAAAACCCTGAAAAGAGTCACTGTAAGTCAGAATTGACTTGACGGCATATTATTTCTCACTAAGTACTGAATATAATACGTTTTGTTTTAAAGAGACATTGAATTTTGGGGCAGAATCTGCGTTTGGGGTGTGATTCTTCTGAAGCAGTTCTTGGTGGGCCAATGAGGAACGCTTTTTCAACATCAAGTTATATTCAAATTTTAGATTTTTGAAACTAGTGGAATTAGAAATGTTGAGCATTTCATGTTTGGTTTGCATTAGTAGGGTAGATGTTTGCTCTTTAAGATAACTTTCTGTTGTTGTTTTTTATCTGAAACCTTTTAGATAACTGTATTGACAAAGCAAAGGTGGAAGAAAGTGAGCAAAAAGCTGCAGAATTTTCCAAAAAGGTAGGCCTAAAAAGTATATATGACACTGAAGACCTGTTGCATTTTTGAGTTGGAGATAATTTGTTTTTAACCTTAAATCTGTATTTTTAAATAGTTGATACATTTATTTTAAGGTTTGGTATTACAACGTTTCTTTACATGAAATTCTGCACAGTGTTGAAGAGATGAATGCAACTATCTTGGAGAAATGTAGGGTCCACAATATAACCAGTTGCTTAACAATATCTGAAAACCTGAAACTTCAGTAGCGAACCTGAAGTACACATCTGAATTCTAGAAACGCTGCTGTTGTTTTAGGTTAGAAATGTAGGAAAATGAGAGCCAGAGAGTACAGAGCCTCTAACCATATATTGCTCACACTAACTGGCAGCAGCTCTCCAGGGTTTCTGCATCATTCTTTTCTAGCCCTAGCTGGAAATGGCAGGAATCTACTTTGGGAGACTGTCTGCTTGTAAAACACATTCTCTATCACTAAGACACGTTCAGGTATGAGAAATACTCTCATATTGTGGATAAGGCAGAGGTATGCTTGTGTTGTCCTACAGCTGGGACCACCATCCTGCCTCAAAAGTTCCTGAAGAGTTTTTGCTTCCTTGACTGCCCATAAAAATGGGGGTTGTCTACTTCGTTCATACTTTGAGTAAGGCAACCATGAAAGGGCTGCAGGATCAAAGGGCTGTGATTGTGCAGCCCTTTGATCCTTTCCCCCTACTTCCGTGTATAAGACGACCCTCAATTTTTACTCTATTTTAGAAAAAATTACCATCTTACACACAGAAAAATGCAGTACTTTTCAGTCATAGCCAGTGGAAGTACTAACTTCATAGTATGTAGTTCCTTTTCAGTTTGAAATTTTCCCCATATATTTAAGCACTAACAAATAACTTCCTTTTAGCTAGAATTTTTTTTGGAATACAGTGGTGCCTTGCTAGATGATTGCCTCGCAGAGTAAAAAAACTGCAGGACTATTGGTTTTCGCGAGCAAAAAAACTGCAGGACTATTGGTTTTCGCGATCCCTGTGGTGCATTGCAAGACGGGTTTTTCTATGACCATGTTTTGCAAGACTTTTTTTTTTCAAGACCCATGCTTCTCAAGATGAATAAATTTCATAGGGAAATATAGGGAACCCCATAGGGAACCTCGCAAGACGATTTTTTCACAAGACGATTTTTGTGGAACGAATTAAAATTGTCTTGCAAGGCACCACTGTAGTACGTTGTTGAAACTGAAATCTTTGATCAGGGTTGTGAGCCCTGCTAGTTCTCCTCAGATTGGTATGTGGTCCCTTCTCTCTTCCTGGATCTATGGATTCAACATCAGCTTTTCCAAAGACAAGAAGGTTTATTAAAATTTTATGCATTGGAACTGGGTCGGCCACACTCACCAGTAGCTCTCTCCACTGTCCTTACCTTCATGCTCCACCACGAACAAAAGGGACTTTCCATCTCTTCTGTAAAAGACTTCCTGGCAGCCATAGTGGCGCATCAACCAGCTAGCCGCCCATCTTTATGTCTCTTCAAACATAAAACTGCTAAGAAGTGCCTCAAGGGCCTTCAGAATACCTAGCCAGATGTGAGACACATACACCCTGTCATGATCCCCACGTGGCCCCTGCTTGTTTCACCAAACTAAGAGCTTGTGCTACGTGTGTTTCAGCTGCCACCAGTTGATTACCTCAACATTGGTTGTTATAGGTTTTTTTGGGCTGTTTGGATGCGTACTGAAGGTTTTTCTTCCTAATGTTTTGCCAGTCTCTGTGGCTGGCATCTTCAGAGGATAGGAGTTAGAACTCTCTCTGTGGTCTGGTGTAGTGTGTTGGATAGTTGAGTATTTGTAGTTGTGGGATCAGCTTTTTTGTGCTTTTCAGGAGATTGGGTGATTCTGGTGATCAGGGTGTTTTTTTGTTATGGGTGTATTGTTGTGATAAGGATGTTGTTAGGTAGTCTTTGTGTGCAGTGATCACCAGTCCTTGTGGCTGAGTAGAGTTTGTTGACCTTTTGCAGGCTGTATTTTTCAGTGCTGGGAGCCAGGCTTTGTTGAGTTTTAGACTTCTTTTTTGTTGAAGCTCTGCTGGTGTTTGTGATTTCGATGGCTTCCCTGTGCAGTCTAACATAATGATCGCTGGTGTTGTCCAGTATTTCAGAATTTTGAAATAGAATTTCATGTCCAGCTTGTTTCAGGGCATGTTCAGCTACTGCCAATTTTTCCGGTTGTTTCAGCCAGCAGTGTCTCTCATGTTCTTTGATCCTGGTATGGATGCTGCGTTTTGTGGTTCCAATATATACCTGGCCATGACTGCAAGGTATCAGCTATACTCCTGCAGTGGGGAGGGGTTCCCTTTTGTCCTTTGCTGACTGTAACATTTGTTGTATTTTTGTGGTGAGCCTGAATACTGTTTGTAGGTTGTGTTTTTTCAAAAGTTTCCCCAAGTGGTCCATAACCCCTGTGATGTGTGGCAGAAACACTTTATTTGTGGGTGGCTGTTTTTCTTCTTCAGTTTGGTGTTGTTTTCTTGGTTTGATGGCTCTTGTGATTTCATTCTTGGAATAGCCGTTTGCCTGGAGGGCCCAATTCAGATGGCTGAATTTGGTGCTGAGAAATTGAGCTTCACAGTTCCGATTCACATAGTCTACAAGTGTTTTGATTATGCCTCTCTTTTGTTGTGGGTGGTGGTTGCTATTTTTGTGTAGGTACTGGTCTGTGTGGGTGGGTTTTCTGTAGACCTTGTATCCTAATAGGAGGTCAGGTTTGTGTATGACCATGACATCTAAGAAAGGGAGTTGGCCCTCTATTTCTTTTTGTTAGTAAGTTATATTTCTTCTTCGTGGTCTCTGTGAATGCACACATTTGGGTTAAACAGCGCCTGCGTTGGCTATCTCGGAATCTTCTAGAGCTTTTCTGAAAAAGTAACAAAGTTTAGAACGCCCCTTCCCTGCATGCTCCATCCCCCTTAGCCTCCTGTTCCAATTTTTCCGCCATTGTGCTAGGAACATCTCGGACAGAGCTCTCAATATTTTCACCTCATCCCCTAATTTTCGACACACACACTTTATTTTTCGATTAAGAAATCTCTCTATTGCCCCTTTACCTTGGAACGGCTCTTGACTACTCTTCGCTTTGCAGACTTAACTTGTTAAATTGGCTTCAAATCCTCATTTTATTGATTGACGCCACAGGGAATTCCTTTACCTCGTTAGTGCTGATTGTTTCCAGAGATCAACAATTACTGCTCTAAGTAATCTCGCTCCCTGGCAGATTGTTTTATGTCCCCCTCAGGGCCTTTTAGCCAGTGCAAGGCGTGTTCCCGAAAACTCCCATTTTCTGACGTCCACAACCTTTGTCTTTTTTGTCTGGGAGATTAGCGCCAACCCCAGTCTTGCCGTCATTGTAAAAAGTTTAGCAAAGCAGGTTTAAGAGCATGCCAACAAAGACTAAAAATTTATTTATGGGACAAAATCTTGTCTGTTTCTAAACCGTCAGACATGGAATCTACATCTAATCCGTCAGCTGCTCCTCGCTCCAAAACAAATATTTCATCTCCCTTTACGTCTGTTCCCAAGTCAGCCTCAAAACCACCCAAAAAGCCGGCGGTGGCTACTTCTAAGAAGGCTTCGACTTCGACATCTAAGACTCCTATTGTTAAAGATCAGACGAAGCCGAAGAAATCGGTTGCCCAGCCTAAGAAGGACAAACCAAAGAACCATAAGACTATTCCTCCCGTGATGCCTTCTCTACCATCTCCAATCCTCGAGGACTCCTCTCAGGATTATGATTCTTTGTCGGAGGCAATGCCATCTCTACCGCCTTGACAACATGTCAGTTCACTGGTTGAGCCCGAGCATTCACCGAGCGCGGCCAGGCTTGAAGAGGCTGTTCCTTCCAGCCCACCCTCTGCCCATCATAGCCTTGCTTCCGCCGGGCGGGTGTCACAGGCACCTCGGTTGCCTTCCTTGTCATTGAGGCATGACTCCCCGCCTCGCAAGAAAACAGCCAAGAGAAAACACATCTGTCCTGATCGACGTCAATCTTCTCTGAAAGAAGCAGTTGCCCCGCTCAAGTCCTCTCAATGTCATAAGAAACATAGGCACGATCGCAAAGCCTATGTCGAGGTCGACAAGAAAAGATCCAAATGTTGATGTCGATATTATGACACCGAATCTGACTGTTCCTCAACATCGAAGGACTACCATAGACGGAAATGGGCACGCTATACTTCTTCTTCCTCCACCTCAACGTTGAGCTCCCTGTCACCGCCTCAGCGTCGACAACGCCACAATGCTGACAAAATTTTGCAGGCTAAGGATACTTCAAAAGCATCTAATAAACGTGCTTTGATGTCGAGATGAGCGTCGAAGGAGACCCGTCATGCTGAGCGTCATTCATATACCCAGCAAACAACTACACGTCACTCTAGTCAAAGAAGAAAGGACACCCAATCCCTTCCTTCAGATCAAGAGGAGATTCTCTCTGAGGTATCCTCTCACCAAGGAGATGAGTTGCTTTCTCCGCCTCGGGCAGACTCACTTATGGAAGCTGAGTCCTTTGAATCAGATACAGGGGATCCTCATCCCTCTTCCCCTTCTGAGGATTTTTCCTCTTATGTGCAGATGATAGCCAGAATGGCTAAAACACTTAAAACGGACACGCAACTACCACCTCCTCCTTCAGATGATCTAATCTTTGGAGACATAGATCAAGAAAGGACACAGCCATTTAGCTTGTCCTTTATACCAGCACTCGTGAATTTGGTGAAAGAGTCATGGCTTCAACTATCTAATCCTCAGCCAATGGCTAGGAGGGCTGAGAACATATATCGTGTCCATGGTGATGAGACTAATTTCCTAACAAAGCACCTGGTCCCTAACTCTATTATTGTACAGGCTTATTTATTTATTTATTTATTAAATTTATACTTCACCCCTCTAGACCATGTCTACTCGGGGTGGCTTACAACATAAAATAAGTCAATATAATATATATATAATCATTAAAAATACAATTACTATATTAATTAAGTTCATCTGAAGCGTCAGGATGCCAGCATGTGACTCCAACCAATAGGGAAGGAAGAAAATTGGATGTGCTAGGCAGAAAAATATACAACTTTGCAGCTTTCCTGCTCCGGGTAGCCAGCTATCAAGTGGCTATGGGGGCATATCAAAAGCAGTTGTGGACCAAAGTACTCCCAACACTTCAGTCGGCTCCTGATGACACATGTCAAGAACTTCTTAACACCTATGCCGAGGCAATGACACTCTCCAAGCACCAGCGTTTGGCATCCAGACACTGCGGATGCTTCGGCCAAGACACTTGCTTCTTCCATAGCACTACACTGACATGCATGGTTGCGAGCATATGGCATTGTGGAGGATGCAAAGAAACAAATAGAGGACCAATCATTTGATGCCAAGGGTTTATTTAATGAAAATTCACACAAAATTAAGAAAACGACTAAATCATACACCATCCACCAGCAACCTAAATTCCAAAAGAATCAGTGGCAGAGGCAATATCCACACCAGCAGTTCCAGCAACAGGCTTCTCATAATTACAGGCCTTTAAAAAATACTCAAGGAAGATCGTCTCAGACTTTATCCTCCACTCCGTCCTATAGACAATAAACAACACAGAAGCGTCAATCATACCGCCCTCCCAATAAGAAATCAAAACAGTATCTTTGACTTTCACATCCCATTGGGAGCAAATTCCACAACCACTCGCTTGGCTCCCTTTTATTGCAATTGGACAAAAATTACACAGGACAAGTGGGTGCTAAACATCATTCAATTCGGTTACAGACGAGTTCAAAGAGCTTCCTCCTCTAGGGCACTTAAAATTGACACCCTTCAATTCCATCCTGGAAGAAGTTCTCACCCTCCTCCAAAAACAGGCGATACATCGAGTACCTCATCAAGACATAGCTGACGGGTTTTACTCCTGGTACTTTGCAGTACCAAAAAAGAACGGAGGGATAAGGCCCATCTTAGATCTGAGGGACCTGAACATTTACCTCAATCTACGCTGCTTCAGGATGGTCATGCTAGAGTCCATCGTCCACCTGTTAAAAAGAAAAGACTGGTTTGTGGTGATAGACCTCAAGGACGCATATTTCCACATAACAATACACCAGCACCACAGAAAATTCCTACGGTTTATATTCAGAAACAAGATCTTCCAATTCTGTGCCCTACCCTTCGGCCTATCCACGGCTCCACGCACATTCACAAAGTGGTTGCATTCCTGCGTCTCCACAGAATTTTTCTGGTAGCAGTACACATTTCAGCGTCGGACAATCAAGTAGCAGATGAACTGAGTCACCTGACAGGTCAGTCCCACGAGAGGGAACTGGACAGAAGCATATTCCAGATGCTCTGCAAGAGGTGGGGTCATCCCTCCATAGACATGTTCGCATCACACATAAACAAGAAATGCAACATGTATGCATCTCGAGTAGGCAGAGGTCCCCACTCTCTGGGAGATGTGTTTATGATTCCTTGGCGAACAGACTTGCTATACTTATTCCCCCGATTCCTCTGATCCAAAGAACTGTGGTCAAGTTGAAACAGGAGCGAATACAGGCCATCTTCATCGCTCCATGTTGGTCACGTCAACCATGGTTCTCTACCTTCACAGAGATGGCTGTGGATGTGTTCAGGTTTCCACCACTACCACATCTGTTGACTCAGAACTCCGGCAACATTCTACACCCGGACTTGCAATCTCTCTACCTCATGGTCTGGAGGATTTGCTGTCGATTAAAGAAGTATTAGATAAAGCCGGAAAACCATCTACCAACCTTCTGTATAAATATAAATGGAACAATTTCCTCAGATTCACCGAGTCAAGGCAATTGCAGGCATCTTCTGTTTCCCTCCAAACATTACTGTACTTATAGATCTACGCTATCTATTTGATTTAGGACTGGCTTTATCCACTTTCAGTCTACATTTCAGCTATAGTCTCCTTCCAACCCAGAGACTCTGAATCGTCTTGTCTCTTTTCTAACCCAACATTAAAATCTTTTCTGAAAGGACTCACTAACATCCGTCCTCCTACTAAACCTCAAGTGCCACAATGGTCTCTCACATTGGTACTAAGTTCACTTACTCGACACCCCTTTGAACCCATGTCTTTGTGTGGTATGCGGTGTTGTTATTTAAAATGTTATTTCTAGTTGCTGTTACGTCTGCGAGAAGAGCAAGTGAGTTGGCAGCTCTAAGGTCAGATGCTCCTTACCTGCAATTCTTCAGGGACAAAGTTATCTTATGCCCAGATGTATCCTTCTTACCTAAAGCTGTTTCAGAGTTTCATCTTAATCAACCCCTTTTACTACCAACATTGTTTCCTCAACCATCGTCTGATATCGAGCGCATGCTTCATTCCCTAGACATCCGACGAGCGTTGGCATATTATGTCTCCAGAACTAAAGACTTTCGTGCCTCTGAAAGACTCTTTCTGTGTTTTCATGGACCACACAAAGGGTTGCCGGCTTCGTCTTCCACCATTTCCAGATGGCTTGTCTCCACAATTGGTGTTGCTTATGAATTAGTCGGTAAGACTGTGCCTGAAGTCTGAAAGGCCATTCTACAAGGTCTATGGCGACATCTACTGCTTTGTTACATGGTGTGGACATTCCTGACATCTGCAGAGTGACAACATGGTCCACGGTATCCACGTTCATCACTACACTATGGACTTGACCTTCGGGCAAAGAAAGAGACAAGTTTTGGAAGGGCTGTTTTGACATCTGTCCTGCAGTGACGGCCCTCCTTCCGGTAAGTGAGCTTGCCAGTCACCCAAATGTGTACATTCACATAGGGCACGAAGAAGAAAAGAAAGGTTACTTACCTGTAACCATGGTTCTTCGAGTGGACCTCTGTGAATTCACATACGTATCCCACCCAGCCTCTCCGCTATCCATCACTGTTTATGCCTATGCTGAGCTCAGGTGCTGGTGGCGGATAAATGGAACTGGAGGCTGAGGGGGATGGAGCATGCGTGAAAGGGGCGTTCTAAACTTTGTTACTTTTTCAGAAAAGCTCTAGAAGATTCTGAGATAGCCAACACAGGTGCTGTTTAACACAAATGTGTGAATTCACAGAGGTCCACTTGAAGAACCATGATTACAGGTAAGTAACCTTTCTTGAGTAGATGCTGTTGAGATAGTTCAGAAATTCTTCCAGTTTTTCTTCACCATGGTTCCAAATTGCGAAGGTCTCATCCACGTATCTGAACCAGACTGTGGGTGTGAAGGGTGCTGAAGCCAGGGCCTGTTTTTTGAAATGTTCCATGTAGAAGTTTCTGTAACCGGGATGAGGGGGTTGCCTATGGCCACTCCATCCATCTGTTCATAGAACTCATTATCCCACTGAAAGTAGCTGGTTGTTGGGCAGCGTTAGAAAAGGGCTTTGATGTTTTGTGGAAAAATCTGCTGGATGAGTGTCAGAGTGTCCTTTACTGGTACCTTGGTGAATAGGGGTACTATGTCAAAGCTAATCAGTCTATCCCTGGGGTTGAGTTTTAGGGTGCTGATCTTGTTTATGAAATGTCCTGAGTCTTTGATGTAGGATGAGGTTTGTCCAATGTGGGTCTGTAGGAGGGTGGCTAGATGCAGCATTTGGATGGGCTGTCTTCTCTGTTTTGGTGTAACTCCTATCTCCAATCTATAGCTTGCCAGTCACCTATCTTGTGTGCATATATGGACACTAGACTTGGTTATATATGTAACTATGGTGCTTTGAATGGTGATCCTTGTATCCACACAATCCTGCCCATCTGTGCTCTTATTCTGCCCTTCTGCATTTTTCCTTGCAGCGGACAACTGGGACTGAGGAAAGCAGGGCCATGCTTGCATGGTATAAGTTAAGGCACTTTTGTGTTTTGAGGCTCTGGAACTTTCTGAATCAGTGTTGTGCAGGCGCGCACACCCATTTTGTGTGGCTACATGGATCACAATTCAAAGAATCTAGGTTACATAAGTAACTAAGTCTTTCACATTTAGAAGAATAGTCAGTTTAATTGAAAGATGCCTTATGTGCATGTTTATGCATGTGTATGTCTGTATCACATATACAACACACATACAAAGTTTTCCACTTTCCGTTTCGGTCTTTTGTTTGTCAAAGTATTTCGGCCTGTGAAAAAAATGTCTTCTTTGTATTGCCATAAAGCTCTAGTGTTTTGTATTTAGTGTTCTGTATCCTTTGAGCACACCATCTTACTGATCCTGGCCAAAGTATTTATGAGGAAAGTGAGCAACTCTGTGCCCTTTAACATTGTAAATGTTTGGGCAGAATGTGAACTATATGCAGAGTGTGAATTATAACATTTGAAATAGTTTCTTAAAATTCTGGAAATAATTCTTGTATACCTGGTAGTTGGCAGGAATCTGCTGACTTAGTTGTTATCAATGCTTTTAGATTAGAAAAACTGGATTTAAAAAAAAGTCTAGGAAGTTAGTCAGGCATCTGTTACTTTGCTCAGTCTATATAACACTGAAGTTTCAGTATTAGGTTTGGACAGAGATGTATGAGTGTTTCTATGTTGGTGATCATTGCAGTTTGATGAAGAGTTCACAGCTCGACAGGAGGCACAAGCTGAGCTTCAAAAACGAGAAGAGAAAATCAAAGAACTTGAAGCTGAAATCCAGCAGTTACGAACCCAGGTAATGTAACAAGATGGATTTCACATTCTGTCAAAATACCTTTTACTTCAGGTAAAACAACAAATTAAATTTTGTTAGAATGGAAGGGCAATTCTTAATAGTGTTTAAAGAATGAATGGTAAGAGAAATTATGTTTCTTTATTCAAAATAAAACAGACAATGGACTCCCCTTGTTCTCTGTAGATGACTAAGAACCTCACATAGATTATTTTTAACATTTGATCCTTTTATTTAAGTTGAGGTAGTGGTTACTGGCTATTTTATTTATGTTGTGTTAGTGGTTATGTTCAACATATATGAATGCATATACAGTGGTGCCCCACATGACGATGATAATCTTTGCCATAGAAATCGCTGTCTTGTGAAAACATCGTCTTGCGAAAACTGTTTCCCCATTGAAATGCATTGAAACCCCAATGCGTTCCAGTGGGGAAAAATCATCGTCGTTTTGCCAAGATCGCCCATAGGGCTGTCCTGCAAAGCATTGGTCCCGAAAACAACAGTTTTGCGAAGCGCATCAGTGCCAAAATCGTCGTCTTTCGAGAAATGGTTTGCGAGGTACGGACCCAAACATTGTCCAGTGAAAATTGCCCATTGGAAACACTGTTTTGCGAATCGCTATAGCGATCACAAAACCTCCTCGTCATGCAGATTTGTCGTTTTGTGAGGTCATCGTCTAGCGGGGCACCACTGTAGTCGAGTACATTCAATATATTTATATTTTTAATTGAATGCTGTGGAATGCATTTGTATTACTCTAGATCAGTATGAATGAAAAGAGAAATAACATACAAATATACGAGTTTACCAGAAGTGGCTTTTTGAAGGTTTTATGCTCCCTTTGAATAGATCCCCCAAACCTAAAACTGGCTAATCTTAGCAGCATGGTATCCAAACCTTGAAAGACAAGACAATTTTTGAAAATTTGCTGTAAGCAACTATCCACTGTTAGTAGTGTTTTTAAGTATTTAGTTTTGTAAGCATATCTATCTATCTAACGTTATTTAAATGTGCTTTTTGGTTTACTGTAATTCGTCTGGAAATAAATGATGCATGAGGCACACAGTGCAAATGTAAAATATAGTTTATATTAGATTCAGTTGCTCCAGATGTCTATTAAACAAACTATCTTCTGGATATTCCAGTGTTTTTAATGTGATTTCTAGTATTTATGGAGAAATTTTGGTGGATATGTTAATCTAATGAAATGTTTGTGTGTGTTCTGTGCTGTTAAGTCAAAACTGACTTATAGCGACCCTAATAGGGATTTCAAGGTAGGTGAGATATTTAAGGAGTGGTTTTACCAGTTCCACTGGGGATTTGAACCTTGGTCTCCAGAGTCTTAGCCCATCCAGTACACCACACTGGAAATCCCTAACTTACTGAAATACTTACCTAAAATTCCTCAACATTTTTAATACCATGGTTAGTTAATATTAAGTATTGCTAAGGACACTGTACCTTTTAAAACAGTGCTCTAAACCTTGGATCCCCAGATGTTCTTGTACTACAACTTCCAGAAATCCCGGCCAGCATGGAGGGAAAGAATTCTGGGAGTTACAGTCCAAGAACAACTGGTGACCCAAGGTAGGGAACCACTGCTGTAAAACTTCTACATTATGGTACAACCTAGGTTATGGTTCTTAGTTATGGTTCAAAAATCATGTGCAACTTTGCACCACATAAAGCAGGAGGCATAATCAACCATTGCAGGTTTTTAAAAAGAAATTAAGAAAATCTTCAGAAATTAAAGATCTTCAGGCCCTTATAACCAGAAGGTTTCAAGGCTCAGGTAAAATCATCCCAGCAGTGGTGATCTTGAGATTTCCATCCTGTGGTTCCCAAAGTCCTCATGAGAAGCACATTGGGAGCTCCAAGTGCTTGATATGGAGTTATGCAAAAGGATCCAGCCTCTGTGTGTGTTTGTGTCACTAAACCGACTATGGCAAAGTCCTATTGACAACAAAACATAAATGGTGTGACTTTTGGTAGTGAATTGCTGCTAGTTAATAAGAGTCAGCATAGATACCAGCTATTGCAAACCAAGGGATGTGGTGGTGCTGAGGACTAAACCGCAGAAGCCTGTGCTGCTCCCGTCACTTTGTCCCAGCTCCTCACCAACCTTACTTAGGCATCCTTCAGTTTCAAAAGACTATGGTAATGTGCTTTGTATGGAGGACTTGGAACAGCGTCTAGTGTGGCTGAGGAGGCCGATTCAAGAGTGACAATCCCTTCCACACTGAAGACAAATCCAATCTGTCCCCTGTCCAGCTCCCCGATTTTGCTGCTTTTGTGACTTCCTCTTTGCCTCGGCCTGCTGGACAAGGGTCTGTTCAAATTGGGAGAGGCCGTGATGCAATGTCTGCCTCCAGGCTGAACGCTCAGATGTCAGGGTTTCCCATCTGTTGAGGTCCATTCCTAAGGCCGTCAGATCCTGTTTGCAGATGTCCTTGTATCGCAGCTGTGGTCTCCCTCTGAGGCGATTTCCCTGCACTAATTCTCCATACAGGAGATCCTTTGGAAGCAGTTCAAAAGCATGCAAATGTGAGTAGATAAATAGGTACCATCTCGGTGGGAAGGTAAAATGGCGTTCCCTAGTCATGCTGGCCACATGACAACGGAAACTGTCTTCAGACAAGTGCTGGCTCTACGGCTTGAAAAACAAGATGAGCACCGCCCCCTAGGGTTGGACAGGACTGAATTAAAAATGTCAAAGGGAACCTTTACCTTTATTGCATACCAAGCCTTGAAACTCAGTATGCAACAAATAATTTCTGTACTGACTATGTAACTTGAAGCAATTTGCCACCAAAAATTATGGCATTTGAGTTAACACCGACAATAGGATTTTGCCATTACCTCTTAGATTTTTAAGAGCTACAGTTTAAATGTAAATAAATAAATAATTTTGTTGGCAAGATTGTCCATTTGTTAGCCTGCCAATGGAAACTTGCTTGCTCAAGTGGAGTTTATTATAGGAAGACTACTGTGTGCAGTAGATTTTCAGCCTGTGCCTTTTTATGCCATTGATACTACATTTCACTGTGAGAACAAACTGATGTTTTGTCCAGAGCCTCAAATATGTCATAAAAGCTTGTATTGGTGCAGTTAATGAACCTCCCATGTCTTATCTTGCTAGTAGCAGTGAAACGTATTAAGAGTCACTGCAAAATTTTTGATCTTCATCCTAATTTTCCACTCTGTACAGTTAACCTCATTTAAGAGGTAGTTTTTTTCTAAGGTAGTGAATATTTAAATATGGGACCCTTTTGATGCTAATTTGATTTTAGCCAGTTGCCTTCCCTTTTAACTGTCCTGTATATGCCACAAGACAAAACTACCTTAAACTGCTGGAATGTATTTTGTTAATAGGCCTTTTTTGTTTTCAAATGTCACTTCATCAGTTTTCTTGATCTACTCGTGCAAAAATGCATACGGTGCTTGCTATATCTCACTGTAATGTAGTGACAAAAATTCAATCCATTCTTGTTAAATGGTTTATACTAGTTTAAACATTATTTGAAATGATCATATTCTCTTTCATTATGGATTTTTTCTCTACAAGGTCCTACAGTAATATGGAGCAGAATATAGTTCAGTATCCAAGGTAGCATTTTAACTTCCTTCTTCCCCTAACAAAAAACAAACAAACAAAAAAACCAAATCTAAAACATGTTTGTTTTGCAGGCACCTGGATCTTCAGGTGGATTACCTCCAGCAGAGATGCCACCCCCACCGCCACCGCCACCCCCTCTTCCAGGTGGTGTAAGCTGTAAAGCTGCTGCCCCTCCTCCTCCACCACCACCACCATTACCTGGTGGTGTGATGCCACCACCACCACCACCTCCGTTGCCTGGAGTGTCTGTACCTCCACCTCCTCCACCACCACCTATGTTTGGGGCATCTATTCCACCGCCACCACCTCCTTTTGGTGGTATTCCTCCTTTAGGAGCTGCACCAACACTGCCTTTTGGGATGAAGGAGAAGAAAAAATACAACCCTGAAGTGTCTATGAAGAGAATCAATTGGGCAAAGGTATCTAAATACGGCATCCTAGGATTGGAAGGATATGACATATAAGTTTTGTAAATTCTAAAGTCCAGTAGTTTGTCTATAGAGTATCAAAATGCCCTGTAATTACTTTAAGGAATCTTGGGCTTTTGTTACTTGGCATTATGATGTGTGCATGCCTGTATAAATGTGACTGAATCAATTACAAGTCTGAACATATTAAAAGGAAATAATGCCAATATGACAGTGCCATTACAAATAATATTCATACATTTATTAAAATGAGCATCATTGTTGATAGAAGAGGGGAATTAACTGTTTCAGGCCAGTGATCTATTTGGGGAAATGATTTTAAACTTGGTTTTAATGTCTTCTATTTCATTGAATGAAGATATAGAATACTGTCATCAAAAACATAGTCTACATGGAAATATAACATGAATAGTGTTCGTTTCTAAGGCTTACTGTTCAGAGCATCACTTTACAGATTTAGGTTCTATTGATGGATAGGCTTAATACGGGCCGTGCTTATCTAATAACTAAATAGTAGGAAGCTGATATGTGTGTGATTTTGTTTTTCAGACTAGGAGTTTAATCTAAAGAAACTTCTGAAGATTATGCTTTCTGAGGTTTATGAATACACAGCAGTGTGCAGTAAACTTAACATTTTGTCAGAACGCTACTTATTATTCTTACTGAATGATCAAAGAAATGCAGATAAACTGATTTTTATTTTATTTACATGGGAAATTAGTGTGCAAGATGTCTTTAATATAAAAAGTTAGCTTCTGCAATACAGACAAGAAAGAAAATCATAATGACTCCATTAGAACAAACTCTGTCCTCATTGTGTGGACTCCAGAGCAGGAAAGGACTTGGAGCCTTTTTGCACATTCATTAAACACAGCATGATAACTTTCAATACATTAGAATTATCACATCGTCTCTGAGAAGAAGACTTACATCTTCTATGTCTTATGTCAAACATCTTCTTTCTAATTTGGCAGTAAGATTAGAAATTGCAATTTCTGCTCTTTGCAAATTCATTTTGCTTGCTGTAAAGGTGTACATGTTATTGCAACCTGTCTTTCTTACACATTTTGTTACTTAAGTTGATAGCCTGCACAGCCTCATAACTCATCACAGTTAGCATCTAACCAGCTTCATTTTATTTCAGGTTGAACCACAGGAAATAACAGAAAATTGTTTTTGGCTAAAGGCTAAAGAAGAAAAATTTGAAAATCCAGATGTATTTGCAAAGCTAGGACTCACTTTTGCTACACAAATGAAAGGTAATTACTTTTATTTTCTTAAATGATCTCTCAGTAATTGCTGTTGTTAATGATGTTGTACTGTATAATGAATGTATATTGTGTTTCAAATGGCATGGAGACAAATCAGGCAAAATCCAAAGGAGGATGGGGCAAATAAAAGAAAAAGAAAAACACCATGTGGCACCTTAAAAATTATTATATTTTAATATGAGCTTTTATGGGTCACATCCACCTCTTCGGACATATGGAATGAAAAGATATATAGGATGAAATACTAAATTCATAAGTAATACATTCAAAAGCTTGTGAATTTAGTATTTCATCCTATATTTCATTTTATTCCATATGTCCAAAGAAGTGGGCATAAACCACGAAACACCACATTAAAATATAATAGTCTTTAAAGTGCCATTTTAAATACTATTTAATCTTTTTTCCTCCTTCTTTTTCCTTTTTCTTTTTTGGTACCCCCCACGATACACTTGCATAGACTAATGTGGCTACATCTTCCAGTAGAGGTAGACAAAAAGATAGGCAACAAGTGAGACAGTTAAAAGAAGATGTGGGCCTGGTGATGGGTCTGAGGAAGTGGACTTGATCCAGGGAAGCTGACATTAATATATAGCAGATAGACTGTAAGTGGCACAATATTTTTGATTCTTGTGTTTTTGTTTTGTTTTGCTTGTTTTTTTATCTGATGTGCGTGGACAGACTACATGAGTACTTCTTTGAAAGCTACTTCTATTAATGATACTGTAGTTGTTTAAACTTAAGAACATAAGGAGAGGGCTGCTGGATCAGGTCAAGGACCCATCTTGGCCAGCTTCCTGTATCTCACAGTGGTCCCACCAGATGCCTCTGGAGGCACAAGAGGCAACTAGATAGCTGTCTCCTGATACCCCTCTGCTGCATACCTTCCTTTTAAGCCTGGAGATTATACATCCCCATCATGGATTGTAACCTGTGATGGACCACTCCTCCAGAAATTGGTCCAATCCCTTTTAAGGGCATCTAGGCCAGATGCCATCACCACATCCTGTGGCAAGGAGTTCCACAAACTAATAACACTAACTTTTTTAGAACTTTTGGATCTTAGAGTAATTGCAAACAGTTGCTTCATTCAGGGCTGCCTTACACATTAGAAGGACCATACTTATTTATATACATCTCCTTCATTTTGATGAAGGAAAGATGTTTGTGTAAAACTCACAGAATGAGCATACAATAGAAGAGTACAATTGTTCATGTTTTCCAAAGATATGAGTATTGTATATTATAAAACACTTGTCCTTTTTTCGTCAGTTATTCTGTTACCTTTGAGGACTTGTTAAATTTTCCGTTACATAACCAGAATATAATAAACTAGATGCTTACTATCGAGTTTTATAGAGTTGACCAGATGTCAGGGAATTTTTTCTTTAAAATGACTCAAGTAATTTTCTCTTTTGAACATTTATAGCATATGAAGGTGGTAGCAATTTTAATTGTTTTTGACCTTATTAATTAATTGTGCAATATTTAATGAAAGCCACATTATGACTTCAGAAACAATAGCATTCTTCATCCTGATTAATTATCTTCTGAAATGTCACATTCTAGTTTTGTGCTGTGTTCAATGAGTGCTTGAAGTGTTTAAAGTCTTCTTTGAAGGTCACTAATACTGTTAGACCTTTTTTGTAACAAATACATGAGAGAAATTAACCGTATACCCAACATTTTCGCAAACATTGTCACTGGTCTTTTCAGTTATTTAGCATTTTCACTTCATAAGATATGGGGGAGGGCTATATAAATGGATTAAGGTATTATTCTAGTCCCTTTTTCATGAAGAGTATTCTATTTTTTATTCATGCAAAAGATTGACTGGCCTTTAATTAAGAAGTAAATATTTAAATTTAATAAAATTTACATTTAGGTCTGGAAATAATTGGACACTGACACAAGTTTTGTTATTTTAGCTGTTTACCAAAATAAATTCAAGGTACAATTAAATAATGAATATGGTCCTAAAGTGCACTCTCTCAGCTTTAATTTGAGGGTATCCACGTCCAAATTAGAGGAAGGGTTTAGGAATTACAGCTCTAATATGTATCCCTCTCTTTTTCAACGGACTAAATATAATTGGACAATTTATTCGTGGACAAGTACAGTCTATTCCTTTGTTATTTCATCATCAATTAAGCAGGTAAAAGGTCTGGAGTTGATTCCAGGTGTAGCATTTGCATTTGGAAGTTGTTGCTGTGAACCCGCAACATATGTTCAAAGGAAGAGTACCCTCAAATTCTCAGCCCTGCTGGCAGGGCTCCCACCTTTCTTGCAACTTCACCCCTGCGTGCGCTAGTGACTCCGTCCCTCCCATGCTGGGTTCTGTTGGGACTGGAATCTAACATGATCGCTGCATGGAGGAAGAAGACAGGAAGTCAGAAATGCGTGTGCATGCCTAACTTGGTGGGAACCTTGTTCAAAGGAGCTCTTAATGCAAGTGAAACAAGTCATCTTTAGGCTGCAAAAATTAAAAATAAATAATTTTTAAAAAATCTATCAGAGACATAGCAGGTATGACCAAATCAATAGTTTGATACCTTCTGAGAAAAAATACCACACACACTGGTGAGCTCTGCAACACAAAAAGGCTGGGACGTCCATGGAAGACAACAGTGGTGGATGGTCGTAGGATCCTTTCCATGGTAAAGAAAAACCCTTCACAACACCCAGCCAAGTGAAAAACACTCTCCAGAATGTAGACATATCATTATCCAAATTTACCGTAAAGAGGAAACTTCACGAGAGCAAATATAGAGGGTTCCCCATAAGGTGCAAACGATTTGTAAGCCTCAATAATAGAAAGACCAGATTGGACTTTGTTAAAAATATCTTAAAAAGCCCAGTTCTGGAACAGCATTCTTTGGACAGATGAAACTAAAATTAACCTGTACCAGAATGATAGGAAGAAAAAAGTATGGAGGAGGCTTGGAATGGGTCATGATCTGAAGCATACCTCATCATCTGTAAAACATAGTGGAGGCAGTGTGATGGCATAGGCATGCATGGCTTCAAATGGCATTGGGTCACCAGTGTTTATTGATGATATATAGCAGAAGACAGAAGCAGCTGGATGAATTCTGATATAGAGATATATTGTCTGCTCATCTTCAGCCAAATTCAGCAAAGTTGATTGGACAGGTCTTCACTTTGCAGATGGACAGTGACCCAAAACATACTGTGAAAGTATTTAACCTGTCAGGGAGAGATAGCCATGTTTTGCACCCTGGCTTCTCCAGATGTCACTTATGAAATGTACCACCTGTACCCTGGCCAACTGCTGCTGTACCAGTTGCCCCCTATCCCAATATAAATCTGGCACCACTCTGCACTTAAATGTTGCTCAGGGTGGCAGTTGGTAATAGGATGCCAGTTCTGCCACAAACCTGCAAAAATAGTGTTCTTTTTCGTGGCCTCTATGAATGCACACATATGGGTATTGTCTGCGCCTGCACTGACTCTCTTGGAAGATTCTGGAGCTAAAAGTAACAATTTTATGGTGTGATCCTCCACGAGGTATCTGCTCCTCCCACCCACCATCTTCCCCAGTTCCTTTTTTTCCGCCGAGCTGAACGGTTCTCAGGAAAGATTGAGTGCTTTGCTATTTCCCTTTTGGCTATTTTTCTAGGCTCCTTTGAGCTTTTGTTTCTTTATCTTTACTTTAAATTACCTACGTAGTGATCCTCCACGTCTTTCCATGGCTTTCCACGGTCTTTTTATTCCCTTCCCTTTCCCCTCCCCCCCTAGTTCTTTGCTTATGGCCTATCCGTCTCCTTTTAAAAGGTGTACGGCCTGTGCGAATAAAATCACACTTTCGGACGGGCATAGCCAGTGTCTTTTTTGTTTGGGTAAGGAACATCCTCCCCATTCGTGTCCTGCTTGTAAAAATTTAACCAAGCCGGCACTAAAACAGAGGCTCCAAAGACTTTGGTCTTAACTTTGGCAAACAGCCATGAATCCTCCTACTTCGTCTTCGGAAGTGGCTAGATCTCCTGCCCTTTCAGCCGATAGGCTTCCAGCAGGCCAGTCTGCCTCTGATTCTACCTCTGTGCTACCAGCTAAGGACACTGTTGAGAAAGCAAAATCGTCTGGTAAGCACAAGTTGCCCTCCTCTCAGAAGTCTCGAGTGCACGATGCAAGCTCGAATAAAAAGACCAAACCTGCCCCTAAGAGGCCTAGAAAGGACAGAGTTCCCTGGGTGGAGCCCCCTCAGCCTTCTCTGCCTTCCCCCATCCTCGAGGAATCATCCAGAGAAGCCCCTGGCTTGGCCTCTGATGGAGATGAAGCCCATGATGTTGTGCCCTCCCATGATGCCGCCCCAAACCCCGAGCATTGGCCTCAACACGGCTGCACCACAGTCCAGGCCGGCCTCAGCGCATTCAGACCCTGACTCAGGGCGGGCAGCTGAAAGCTCGGCATCCAATCTGGAGGTTCCCCTTCACCTCCACGGAAGAGAAAGGAGAAACGAAACCACCTCTCCCCATCGAGGTCTGTGCCATCGCAAGGCGATTTTTGCCCTTTTCCAATGGTACCATACCATTTTGACCCCTTCATCTGGCAGACCCTGTATGAAAGGTACAAGCCTGAACAGGCTAAATGGCCCTGAATGACGCCAGAACTTCCCCATGCCGTCCCTTTCATGGACTCGAATTGCCTCCGTGCTACCATTTTGGCCCCGAAGGCTTCAGCTCCGCCTGTATGCCCTCCGGCCCCATCTAAGCCAATGCCTCTAACTCGAATGCAAGACAGAACTCATGAAGCTGTACCCCTACGTTCCGCACCACCGATGCTGGACCTGATGAGATCTCAAGGCCCCTTTGAAGGCATGCCGATCCAACAACACCAAGCTCCCCTGACAGAGGGCTTTGGTCCATCAGACATCATCTCTTCATCTCTGGGCTCCCCTGCATCTTTGGAGGCACAACACTCTGAGTCCTCCCATGAGCCTGAGCTTCCCCCTCCAGTCCCAGATACGA